GAATTCCATATAGATAACTACAATAGATATTAGCTTTGATCATTAGCAAGATGAATTTATTGAAAAAAAATTTTACCTGGTGCAAGTATTTTATCATCTGTTGTAATTGTGGTAATAATAGTAGGCACTTCATTAAATACTCTTACACATAATAATGAGAAAGCACTAATTAATAAAATTAATGCTGAAATAATGACAATGCGTCTAAACCATAGAACCAATTTTGGTTCTGTCTTTTGCGGTACTTTTATAAGATGATTCAGCATTTTTTTTTTTATATGTGGTCAGTTAGTAATGGAGGAGAATTAATTTTACAAACGTAGAAATAATTACGATCTACTCCACTGTGAATCTGGAAATAAGTCATGGCAAAAAAAATGTCCAGATCACGGGATCAACGATCGCCTCCGACTTCTTTGGCGTAGCCGATAAATCATATGTTACACGAAAATAAAATCAATTATGTTTTATTAACATGATTTATCGAGCTGTCAAAGCGCAGAAGCTACGGACAGTTCTTAGGGACAGTTCAGTGGCCAGAATTAGGATTAGGGTTAGGGTTAGGTAGGTGGATTTAGTTAATTTCAGTCAGCATGCACTGTCCGTAAGAACTGTCCGTAGACTCGGCGCTGTCAAAGAGATTAAAGGCGATCGTTGATCTCGTGATATAGACATTTTTTTTGCCCTGACTAACCTATTTCTGGAAATACGACCTTATGGTAGTCATGTGAAACGTGATCTCGGAATTCCAAATTTAGGTTTACCGGAAGAATTCGGCGATTCGGGAAATTCAGATTCGGCAGATCCGGAAGATTCTGCGGCGAATACAGAGAAATGTTACTTATGAGCCATTTCTCGTACTCTAAAAAAAAAATTCTTCACCAAATTTTTGCATTAGAACTTGTTTGTTAAAGCCCCACCTAACATTAGTCTTAACCATGAGCCTAACCCTAAACTAGAGTTTTAATTATTGCTTTGATTTCACATTACACCAGATCTTATAGGGTGCGATATATCGCATATGCGGTAATTACTAAATTATTAATTAGAATTATTTTTTACAAACTTGTAATTTTATTTCTAGGGATACTTTATTTCATATAAGGATAACATATTAAAATAAAAAGATGAATGCATTATTTTCAAAAATCCGCTGAGATGAGGTACGCAAATGGAAATATAATATTTTGTTATCGTCAAGGAACTGGAACATCAAGAGATATAAAGCAGGCAAAATTATTGGTATGTTAAAGGAAGAAGAGTATTAAAAAAAACATTATTCAAAGAAGAATTAAAGGAATTACTGAGTAATGAGAAATATCGATTGATTAGGGCCTTTAATAAATTTAAGTCAATTAAACTGTAAGGTTGATCTATAGAATTATTAATTAATTTAATTGATGATCCGGATAATTACTATATTGGGGCAATAGTAAATTTTGGGAATA